TATGAAACTGGCTTTTGAAGAGTTTAAGATGTTTCCTATCTATGTTTCTAACATTGATTGACTTTTAGCTCTGCTGATTTCAATATAAAGATCATTTTTGTCCTTTTCAATAAAGTTATTCAGAGAAAAAAACTTAGTTAAAGAGGCTAATGATGAGAGAAACTCCCCCTGAGTTCCAGCTATCGCCCCCCATGTTGTTTCTAATGTTTTAGGGCCAAATTACAGGTTTAGTTTGCTAAAAAAAGTGGCTATGAAACTGACTTTTGAAGAGTTTAAGATGTTTCCTATCTATATTTTTTTAACATAGATTGACTTTTAGCTCTGCTGATATTCAAAATAAAGCTATCAGGCCTCAGATTACAGGTTCAGTCCAGACTCAAAGTCTGCTGTTTGAGGAAAAAAAGTAGTTATGAAACTGGCTTTTGAAGAGTTTAAGATATTTCTTATCTATATTTTTTAACATAGATTTATTTAAAGCTCTGCTGATATTCATTATAAAGATAGTTTTGTCCTTTTTAATGAAGTTATTCAGGGAAAAAGCTTAGTTAAAGTGGCTAATGATGAGAGAAACTCCCCATGTGGTTTCTAATGTTTTAGGGCCAAATTACAGATTTAGTAGCAATGAAACTGGCTTTTGAAGAGTTTAGCTGAGTATCCTCTTGGTTTTTGTGGAGGTATTCCTTTTTATTTAGGAGAGTTCAAGCACAAAAAGGGCAGATTTCTTTGTTTTTTTTTGGGACACCTGGACTTTTAGGCCTAAAAATATCAGGAGTTTTCATTCAGGACTAAATGTAAAACATGCTGAATAACCCAGAGTTTTTTTAAATTTTATTCATTTTATTTTCACAACAAAAACACAAAAACAGAATTATGTTTCACTGAAGAAAAATTTTTAGTTGGTTTATTACCTACAAATACTCAGATTTGACTGTCAGCTTCCCGTTTCCACCAATGGATTTGTTGTTTTGGACTCCAGCTCAAAGTCAAATCACTCAGTTGTTTCCAGATTTCTAGATTATTTTTTTCAGATTTCCAGATGATTTTTTCAGATTTCCAAATAATTTTTTCAGATTTCTAGATTATTTTCTTCAGATTTCCAGATGATTTTTTCAGATTTCCAGATGATTTTTTCAGATTTCCAGATTATTTATGTGTGTTATCATATTTTATATTTCTTCTTTCAAACTGCTCTTAACATGTCCACTTCAATATACAAAATTAAATACAAAATCTAGTCATAAGGAATTATTACATGATTACTCCACCAGTCACTAGAACAGCACACACACTCAGAAATGGCATATTATTATTTGCAGATAATTAATTCCTTATCAAAAAATCTTTTTAGACCAATTAGGTGAAATAGGATGATTTTCTACGGCAGATTGAAAAACACTGTTCTATCGGGAGAGGGAGGCAGGTTTACCGTTGGGTGTCCTCCTCCAGTCCGTAATCCTGTGGGCTGCCGGTCAGATTTAGAGCGAGCTAATTGGATCCCATCCCGTCCAATCAGCTCGCAGCCTGAGGCCCGTCGGTGCTTCTCTTTGACCCACATGGATTAACGACTTCATTCAAATATTCTGACCACGTAATCCTGGTGGAAAACCTGCTCCGGGCTTCAGTGTGAGGAAAACAAATCCTGCTGACGTGCTCCGGATTCCTCCTCTTTCTATGTTTTTATTATTTTATTATTTTATTTAGAAAGTGAGGCCAGGAAGCTGCTCTGTAAAGGTCCATAAAGTCATTTAAAAAGCTGATTAAACATGAACAAACCTTCTGATAAAACCCAGATTGCCCAGTAAAACAAAGTTCCATATTTGTGTAAATCATATTTTACATTTGATTAATTTGATTAGTAACAATTAAAATATCTGGTTGCTTTAACTCTTAGATTTACTGCTTTTTAATACATCTCTTATCTATATTTTCTAACATAGATTCACTTTTAGCTCTGCTGATATTTAATATAAAGATAGTTTTTGTCCTTTTTAATTAAGTTATTCAGGGAAATAACTTAATTAAAGAGGCTAATGATGTTGTTTCTAATGTTTTAGAGCCTCCTCTTCCTCCTCCCGTGTCCTCTTTGGTTAGTTAGTTAGTTAGTTAGTTAGTTAGTTAGTTAGTTAGTTAGTTAGTTAGTTAGTTAGTTAGTTAGTTGAGTTAGTCGGGATGTTTTCTCTCAGCCTCCTTCTCGGGGAGTCGAGTCAAGACCGTTTAATGGTCGAACAAACTCACTTTTTACTTTTTGTCTCCTGTTCCACCATTCCAGATTCACATCAGTTTAAACCTTCTGCTTTCTCTCATGTTTCTGTGTTCTTTTATCTCTTTAAGTTGTGTTTTTCCGTGCTGTTCTCCTTGGTCTTGACTCTTCATTTTGACATCACGCTTCACTCCTCCTTTGGTCTCAGGCAGCTCTTTGCTCTTAACTGAATTATTTTCCCCTTTCCCTCGGTTTCCCCCTCAGGTGGAGACACTTCCTCCTCCACCACCGGAAGCGCCTCTCCGGTTCCCAACAGCTACGATTCCCTCGAAGGCGGCAGCTATCCAGGTACCTATTTATCCCATTTCAGCTTCCACCACCAGCAGATGTAGTCTGAGTCGTGGTTATTCCCAGATGTTTGGACTATCTGCCCTTAACTCATTGGCTGCCAAAGACGTCAATAGACGTCAATTCAAATACAACCGTTGGCTGCCAAAGACGTCTATAGAGGTCT